TATCACATCTTCAGCATGATGAAAGCTTGTCGTAAGCAAAGGGACTTCACCTCCAAGTGTCAACTATGCTGGCTTGTCGCTTACTTTACTGTTGTTGGATCAAACTCACTCTTTACTTCCCAATCAGGAACATTGACAATTGTATTTCCACTTGATTCTTCTCAACTCTGCTAAAACTATATTAACCAATAACAATTTGTTTATTTGTACTTGTACAGCATTAGTCACACTTCGAAAAGGAAAAATCCCTTCGCCTACAATCCACGTGGAAAACCACTAGGGAATCAGTGTCCCTCGAACTGTAGACAAAGAAATTTGAATTTAAAAATTTCACTTAACATAAAATTTTAGTATACATTGGTATACAAAATCATTCAACATTATATTTAGTAGATAAAACAAAACAAAAATATTGCAACAATTAATCTTCCAAATCAAACAGATTGTTGTGACATCTTTCAACACATCAATGAAATTATATACAAATCCACTAGTAAACATCTCAAAATTAGGGGCAAATTTTTAGAATTACTTTCAAATAGGTTCATTTAACATAAAGCTGTTCCATCACATGTTTTTTTTTTTTTTTTTTTTTTTAATTCAAGTATCGCGCCTTACTGGCATCTTCTGCCTTTCTCTTCAATACAGACAATTTAGTGTTATATCTATATTTACACCATTTCTTTTTTTTATTATTATATTTCCTGAAATCAAATCATTACGTAAACATGCAATTTGTACTCACCAGATTCTGATCAGAAAAATCCTGTCCTTTAAGGTTGATCCTCAATGACATGAATTATCGTAGAATGTCATATTGCTTCTCCTTCAGACATCAGCTTGTCAGTAACACCCATGATCTGAAAGCTAAAACATTCTATTCATATTCTATGTACATTCAAACAGATCGCTGAACGCGGACCTCGACGAAGACACCTTTTTATTCAATACACATCACTCCAGCCAACAAAACTAATACCAAATGACATGTAATTTCACACTTAATGCTTTCCCTTTCTCAATCTCACTATTCCTTTCTAACAAAATCTTATTATACATAAAATATTTTAACAAACTCCAATTATACATAAAATATTTTAACGCTATAGTACTTTGCCCGGCGTTTAACCGACAAACGGCATAACAAATATCTGATCACCTGGGTTAATAATATCTACCCATGACAAGGTCTAAATCCCAAAACATTTCACCACCAAGGTCAAAAATTACCACCTAGGTCTATTAAGAAGCCACCAAGGCGAATATAAATGACCACCAAGGTCTTAAAGCCACCAAGGCTAGTATTTTCTGTTTAATGTTGCCACCAAGGCAAATGTGAACAATTATAAAAATGACCACCTAGGTTTATTGCCACCAAGGCAAATATAAATGACCACCTAGGTCTATTGCCACCAAGGCATATATAAATGACCACCAAGGTCTTAAAGCCACCATGGCTATATTGCCACCAAGGCAAATGTAAGTAAAAGTTAAAGAATATAATTACTTTGCCGACAACACGTGGAGCACGACCATCCCACAGCTTGAATATTGAAAGAATGAGGATGTATCCCATGTACTTCCGCCAAAGATATCAACCAATGAGGTTATGAAAAATTAAACCTTGAAAATTTTTTACACTTTTCTTATAGATCTTTTACATATTTTACTATAGTTTTGATAGTAATAAGTTTTGATTTATTTTACAAATAAAAAGAATTTCACTGTCTTCTTGTCACCCAAATTTATGAGTTAATTTTAAAAGAGATTATATAAAATACCAGAGTTAAACAAAGAATTAGACTAGCCATTGTTTGCCATTTTTCAAAAGATTAACAAAAGCTGTAAATTAGAGTTTATTATATTATCTAAAAGCGATAGCAAAGTAAAGGTTAGATAATACTTGGTCATGTTTTATGAAGATTTAAAGCCCAAGGTGTAGCCGAGGGTGTTAAATGTTCATAAAACATGACCAAATATTGTCTGACCAATTTAGAACATATTCAAACTTTCGAGTGACCTTACAAAATTATCCTTTCCCATTGTAATATTCAAACCTTGATAAGAATTCACTTTTTATAAAGAAGTGTTAACTAGGTTAACAAAATGAATGTATAATATAGGTAATGCTCATTTCAATGGTTGGAATGAAATAGCACTAACATAGTTTTGTGCGGACAAAAAGGATAAATTGTTCAAACATTGAATTTTTCTTCAGCTTCAGGTAAAATTCAATACTTATATACCTTAAATTTTCTTGATTTTAAAAAGCACACAATGTTATATAAATCAGCTTTTTGAAATTTGTATATTTTTTGATAATTATAAAACTCACTCTATAAATATTTGAATTACAACCATTAAACATCAGATGCTTACTTTTTATTGATGAATGTACATGTATTGTGTTTTTTTTTCGAAAAAAAATCCTTTGCTTTATATATCAACAGTCTGACATTGTTTTCTTGAAAGAAAAAAAAATAATAATTGACTCGAATGTCTGATATCAAAATTGAATAAAAGATTATTTTACCTACATCTTTGCCCCCATTTCATTTTTTGTTTGTTATATATATGTACCATGATAAACATTTGCAAAATTCAAAATGTTTTTTTATAATTCTATTCTCTTTCATCTTTAATCAGCAGGCTATTTTCCCAAGGTAAACGCTTCAGGGGATTGTACACTTCGTTCGTGTAGTTATTAAGAGTTCCCTTTCTTTATTAATCTACAATGAAAAATCATTCATGTGAAGCATTTTATAGTGCATGGAAAGCCATGTACTATGAAAATTAGAAGGGAAAAAACTGACTTTTCATTGGACGAGAAGGGGTGAGTATGTTCTAATATTATGTAACCTTTGACCATATGTTGGATTAGCATGTCTGGATTAAGACCACGCTATCGTTGATTTGAGTTCTTATGTGACATGGGGCCAGTGAAAGGGATTATAAGATATTTTCCTTGCTGTACATAATTATTTACCCATATGTGCCTCACCTGGGAATGAAACGAAAATTGTATTTTAAGAATTTCTGGTCACTCGGACATTGACCAGCAAAAAATAAACATCTTTAATACTTATATACCTTAAATTTCTTGATTTTAAAAGGCACACAATGTTATATAAATCAGCTTTTTGAAATTTGTATATTTTTTGATGATTATAAAACTCACTCTATAAATATTTGAATTAAAGCCATTCAACATCAGATGCTTACTTTTTATTGATGAATGTACATGTATTGTGTTATTTTTTGAAAAAAATCCTTTGCTTTATATATCAGCAGTCTGACATTGTTTTCTTGAAAGAAAAAAAAATAATAATTGACTCGAATGTCTGGTATCAAAATTGACTAAGGATTATTTTACCTTCATCTTTGCCCCCATTTCATTTTTTGTTTGTTATATATATGTACCATGATAAACATTTGCAAAATTCAAAATGTTTTTTAATAATTCTATTCTCTTTCATCTTTAATCAGCAGGCTATTTTCCCAAGGTAAATGCTTCAGGGGATTGTACACTTCGTTAGTGTAGTTATTAAGAGTTCCCTTTCTTGATTAATCTACAATGAAAAATCATTCATGTGAAGCATTTTATAGTGCATGGAAAGCCATGTACTATGAAAATTAGAAGGGAAAAAACTGACTTTTCATTGGACGAGAAGGGGTGAGTATGTTCTAATATTATGTAACCTTTGACCATATGTTGGATTAGCATGTCTGGATTAAGACCACGCTATCGTTGATTTGAGTTCTTATGTGACATGGGGCCAGTGAAAGGGATTATAAGATATTTTCCTTGCTGTACATAATTATTTACCCATATGTGCCTCAATGAAACGAAAATTGTATTTTAAGAATTTCTGGTCACTCGGACATTGACCAGCAAAAAATAAACATCTTTTATTTTACAAAGAATTGGTTTTCATTCCAGGTGAGTGTAACGTTAAAGGACACCGGCCACTTCAAACAATCATGTGTAAAATAAAACCTTCATAGTTAATAAAATCGATATCTTCATGTTGTTGTGTGTATTTCTTATCAGGGAATGTGATAATCATTAGTGTAAACACAGATGGCCTTGATCGCCCTTGTATGCATATTTTTAGACATGATAACGAGGCTCACGGCTATGACATCACTTGTGTTACCAGCTGTATATTCTCAGTGGTAATACTATATAGATAATACAGAAATTCCATGAGTATAGGGTTCCATTCATATCTCATATTACATACATATTTTAGTTTTATGTAAAAGCAAATCTTTATGCAGAATTATTCAAAAGTAAGAAGTAATTATTTTTTATTTCGTAAATATTAGTGTATAAATATGCCGTATTGTGTGGTTTACGGTTGCAATAGCAATTCTCAATGTGACAAAAATATATATTGGTTTACTTTTCCGAAAGATTCTCAGAGAAATCGAGCTTGGGTTCACTATTGTAAACGACAGGACTTTACACCGTCTAAACATAACAGAATTTGTTCTAAGCATTTTACCCTTCATCAGTATAGCAGACACCCAGAAAGACTTTTAGAATTGTGATATCCGGATGCGAGAGCAGCACTGAAAGATGACGCCGTACCCGACATTCCTGTAGTTGTGGATGCAGAAAAAGGACCATCTTCTCCTAAAAAGCCTAGGTCGGCCTTCGAAAAAAGACAGAAACGTCAGGTACAATTGATCCTCTTTATTATTCATCGAAACTTATGTGAAACATACGTTCATGGTTATCTGTATGGTTTCAATACTTATAAACAATTATTATATTTGTATATCTTTCTTCCCATTTTTGTTCTTCTGAAAATTGTCACAGGCATTTATCTTATTAACATGAAAAGGTATATATCCATTTACATAATACTACGATCCATTAAAAAAATTATCGTAAGTAATACTGAAATGTTCAGGACTTCCGAGTATTTTTTTTTTTCTCGTATACTTTTTTTTCTGAAAAGTAGTTTATGGGATAATTTATAATTTCGCTTGAAGAAGGAGTCCGTGTATTGCCATTCTGAATCTATTATAAAATGAAATAAACGAATAAGGTTTCGCGAGTCTTGCTAAAGAAAACATAAAAAAAACATATCAATTATTTAATTCCACCAGAAATCTGCGACAGTCCTTTCCCGAATACCACGCATAAAAAAAGGTGTATCTACGGGATATATGATTTTTTTTACATTCATGTATGAGAGTATATTTTTTTTAATGAAAGCATTTTTTTTAAATAAAAATTTAATTTCATCTATAGGTTCTTGAAGAGGCCTTCAATGATTCATTAGATAAGTCTTTAGACTCCATTGACATTGAAACTGAATCGTCACCCGCACATGACAGTATGGACATTCGGGAAGAGGAAGCAATTCCGGTAGATGTACAAAAAACATTCGAGACAACTGCTTCTAATACCGATGCCACAAACATGACAACGCAGAAATTTCAAACAGATTCCATTCCACAGAGAACAAGAAGATTGCAAACGTCAAAGCCCAAGAGAAAATCTAAAGGTATCCAGTGTAACCCTTCAGATATTGATTCAGAATGTCTAGTCGCCACATCAAAATAATTGATAACCGCAAATACTACAAGCAGTAGCCATACACCGGTAGCGACCGAGCAAAACTTGGATGACAATGATGAGATGGATGATGATGAAGATGATGTAGATGAATATGATAATGATCCTGATTATATTTATAACGAGTCCGAGGAAGAAGATGGAGACGATGAGTATGGTTCTGATGATGACGAAGAAACAAGCAATTACAGGATAGAAGAATGTAATGATCCAATTGAAGAAAAGTATTACATGGTCTCTGAAACAGCATTATTTCAGTTACTCTCAGTATGTAGAGAGTGTAACAGTCGGTGCGTTCCAATAATTGAATTCAGTAGAGGGACAATGATATCTACATCATCTGTATGTGCTTTTGGACACGTCTACAAGTGGAAATCCCAAAACTGTCATGAAAGACTACCATGGGGAAATATTTTACTTGCAAGTGCCATAATGTTTAGCGGAAATAATACAGCCAAGATTGTAAGATTATTCGATCAAATGAAACTGAAAGGCATTAGTGAACGCTCAGTAAGAAGACTGCAAACAGCATACACATCATGTGCTGTTATTTATGAATTTGACTCACAGCAAGCAGACCTGCTTACTTCCTTGCAAGGTATGTATATTTCTTCATAGTGTTACTTCGTTTATTATACCTAAGTCTCTTTTAATTTATTTCCTGGAATACATGTTTTTTTCTATCCTCATTTTCTCCCACTCTCAAATTAAGTATCTTGTGACAGAACATAATATATTTTCTGTACGAAATAATTTCATTGTTTATTATATAAATAAAAATGTTATAATCTTCATGCATTACACTTTTTAATATTGCAGGTCCAGATAAACAAGTAGTACTTGGTGGCGACGGAAGGTGTGACAGTCCTGGTTATAGTGCTAAATATGGCAGTTATACCCTGATGGACTTGAACACAAATAAAATATTGGACATTCAGCTTGTTCAGGTTTGCATTAATTTAACACTTGATAGGGTTCTCGATATTAGTTTTAAATTAGATCTGTATAAACGTGATAAATGATTCCAAATGAATTCAGCTTAACATGCATACTTTTATAAAACGGACTGAGAGTTGCTGTCCAGTGGCAAGCATTTCATGAATCTTACCCAAATCTCATAATTTTCTTATAAGTTTTGAATTAGATCTGTATAAATGATTCCAAATAAATACAGCTTAACATGCATACAACTATAAAACGGGTTGATTGTTGCTGTCCAGTGGCAAGTATTTCATGAATATTACCCAAATCTCATTGTTTTTATCTAATTTTTAAATTATATATGTATAAATGATTAGGAATAAATACAATTTAACATGCATACTACGGATTGATTGTTGTTGTCCAGTGGCCAGTATTTCATGAAATTTTCTCCAAATCTCATTGTTTTCATAAATTATGATGACAAATAATTTCATTGTTTGCTTATTTATTTCAGTCAAATGAAGTTAAGGGGTCAACCCATATGGAATTGGAAGGACTAAAGAGGGGTTTGTCCCTTCTTATGGACACTAATAATATTGAAGTCTCAACGCTTGTCACAGATAGACATGTTATGATTAAGAAGTTCATGAAGGACAACCATCCAGAAATAAATCATTATGTAATAATGAAATAAATGTATGGCATATAGCAAAAGGTATAACTCACTCAACTTCTTACTATAGCTATTTATACAATCTAATCAAGTTGTGAGTGAAAAATCTCAAATAATTGAATAACAAATCATGTTTTATAAAACCGCAATACTCTTAGAATGTTAAATAATTAAAAAAAATTTGCATTTCGAAATATTTACTTTAATCCATTGCTTACAGGAATATCAAAAAAATTGGAAACCAGAGCCAAGGAGAAAGATACAGGGGACATAAGACCATGGATAAAGAGCATTGTTAACCATACATTTTGGGTAGCTGCATCAAGTGGGGAAGATCAAAATGTGAAAATACACAAATGGACATCAATTTCCAACCACATCATCAATAAACATGTCCATGAGTCTGATGTATTTCCGCAATGTATCCATGGAGAACTTGAAGAACAAAGAGCTTGGCTTAAACAAGGTAAAAAATATCTTGAAATAAAAATGGTTTCCATATTTCTATGAAAAAAGTCTAATTGTGATTTTTCGTGTTTTTGTACAAATTAAAATAAAAAACTATTTAAATAAGAAAATAAAAAGGTTTGATTTATCAGATCGACGCATTGGCGATCATACCACATCCTTTTATTTTTATAAAATGTCTACATGTATATCATAAGCCATATATGGTGAAATGTTCGCATCTAAGCGAGGCATTTCAGTTTGAATCTATACATTTCTATGGCTCAAATTATTTCTTTAATAAATGATATTCAATTTTAATTTTTAGGTTCCAGATCTCATAAACTTGTTCTGGAAGTAATCGAAAGCAAATATGTGCTTAACGATTTAAAAAAGTTGTCACCAGTGCACCAGACATATGGCCTTGAGGTGTATCACTCTCTTGTGAACCAGTATGCACCAAAGAACACCCACTTCTTCCAGTATGCAATGAAAGCAAGGTAATTTATTGTGAACAGTATGTTAAAATAACCAATAGCAAACAGAATAGTGAAAGGTGTGTTCCTGTACTTTAATTACATTAAATGGTCACCATAAAGTGTACATATAAACTCATCAGTGGCTAATTTAAAACTTTGAAGCAATAAATTAAAAAGTTTAGTAGGTTCTTTATTTATAAATCTGTTGATTTAAATGCTTTTGTACCGTTTTTTCTTCTTCTTCAGAATTTACATTGCTGCATTGCATTACAATGAAAATGGAAATAGACAGCAAGCTGTCATAAAAGCAGGAATCCTGAAATGGAAAAAGTCGTACCCTAAGGCAAAAAAAGAAGAGCAATGTGTTGTCAAACCACAGAAAGTTCAAGCAACCTATGGTAGGATTTCATAAAACTTTCTGGTTCAATAATAAAAACATAAAAAGCACTATGCAAGACATTTACTTTGTAATAATATTGCTCTTCAGCAGTTTATTTTTATTTATGGGAATTTTAAAGGTTTATTTACAGCAGAATGAGTCTCTTTTTGTACAATTGAAATTGAATAAGTTTGTATTCTCAAAATGCATAATGCACATGCATGTAAGTGCATTTATAAATTCGCACTGCTAAGTTATGTGAATTAGAGGCTGAGCTACTACATATTGTTTCTATTTGTCTTGTAGATTATGTTGGAGCTCTTCTGAAAAGAACTTTTGACAGACGAAATAACTTGTCAAGCATTAAAGAAGCTTTAGAGGACTTTAACGTTGTATACCAGAGACTTCCTCCACTAACAGCATCAAATGCTCATTTTGATAAGGAGGAGCTAATAAGACATCGAACAAGTCGTTTTGCTAGAAACTGACATCATTTCTCAACTTTGCATACTTGTACATTTGTTTTAATATATTATGTGATCATTGTTCAATATAACTGTTCACCATTATCCTTGTATTTACCACAATTTACACCATGTAATCAAGAGTTTCTATCTTTCAATGCTAGGTTGTGGAAACATGAAATATACACAGATTTTAACCAAAAATATGGGCGGGAAATTGAGAGCTTCATGAAATATTTTTTTTCAAATTATCATGGCCTGGCATATTTGAACCCAGTAAAGTCCTCAGATGGGAATGCCTCCCGAATTTTTATTACTGCACATGCTGGTATCACTTTTCTTCTTTTTTTACCAAGAATATGCCAGATCCAACGAGTGAACCGTCTGTACGCAATATATCTATATAATCTGAAAAAAAAATTAAATATTTAACAGATTATTCAAATTTGTTATACAAAGTGATGCTCTTGAACAAGGATATTATTATAACTGATTTTCAGTATGCTGAAAAAAAGTGATTAAGATGATTTCATATTTTCATGATGATATATTTGATTATCCAGATTTAATTATTTTGCCTTTTTTGCATTCCATCATCAGCTTGGTCTTGACATTTTTTTTTATTATGTTTCTGATTGAAATTGTAATTAAAAAATGATAGTTGTGAAGTTAAATTTATGTTTAATCAACGACATTAAATTGAACTTACTCATGAATTGGTTCATTATCATCTACTGGTCCCTGCCTTTCAACAAAGTCATACAAATTTAAAGAGACTTCAATGACATGTCTATTTAGACAGTTTCCAGTAAACCCCTCATGGTCTGTTATGCAATCAAGGTCCCCATCTTCCATCTTTTCTGCAACTGGACCAACTTCCTTGCAACAAAGGCATTCATCCACAGTGGGCATTACAGTGCAGTTGTTACAGTCACACCTGGGAAATTTAATGTACTATGTAGATTTGACTTGCAAATATTTTACAATAAATCCTTAAAATCCATTATTATGTAGATTTGTAAAAAACGGTCAAGTAATTTATAAAAAAGGTAACAATGCATCAGTGTGAAATGAAAAGCATAGCACATTTTAACATTAATTCCATATCATTGTGAGTAATTACTACATGTACAAAATGTACAACAAAATCAGAACCTATTTTTTAAATAAAAACTAATAGTCTGTAGGTCTTATTCATCATCTTATTCTTTGAAAATGAAAGTATGGCATTATCCCATTTCATTTGACTCTGTATGTAGTTCAGGGAGTTTTTTAATATACGAGTGTCGGCAAATGTGTATGATATACATGTCAACCCCCCTTTTTTAATAAAGAACAAAAAACGGACTAAAACACATTTACATCTAAAGAGGCTTGGTTATGTGAGTTATTTAATCATGTTAGACAATATTGGACAATCAACCATACCATGCCAAGTTATCCATCCGGCTGTCTTGCAGGTCAGAGGAGTCAGATTCGTCGACTTCAGAATTTTCCTCAGAGTCCGATTGATTTTGACTGCTCACTTCGTTTTGTTCAATATGAACAACAGGCTCGAACTGATACGGTTGAATATTATCAACAGCAGTTATAAATGGCTCATCATCGCTGTCCTGTCCGTCGAAATCGATTGAATACTTTGTCTAATTTGATTTGGAAATAGCTGTGTTTCTCGTGGTATGGCGAATGTAAACAACACAAGTGACGTCACGCAGTCATTCGGGACGATGCTTATTTATTGTCGGCAATTATAGGCAATGTCCGAAAAAGGGTTATTTCAAGCTGATACAACCTGTTTTTATAGACATACGATATGTGTTACACACTAATCTACGAAATTAACGATGTTTACATCCCATTACGATTTATTTTACAAATGATAGTTTGAAGTGGCCGGTGTCCTTTAAGTTTTATAACTTGATATTTTAAATGAATATTTTCATGTTTAAGGCATTGACATTTTAAATGAATGTTTTCTAGATGTCAAGATATTATAAACTGAAAAGGGTATAGTTGCAGCCGCAACAGCTTAGGGGAAGTAAAAGTTTTTTTACATTTACAGAATTTTCTTATGTAAATAATTATTTTTGAAGACAACATCTTTATGCTTCCTATCATTGAATTTAACATGTTTATCCCTCTTTTTAATAATTAAATAATTGCGTTTGTATTTTTATTGAGTTATTTGGGTGTAATACCACCAAATCATAGTACGTCACATCCGGTTGCTTACGAAAAAGGGTCGAAAAAAAATATTCCCTTGAATTTGACAGTTGTAGGAAATTAATCCTACATTTCATTGCATTACAATTGTTCTTGGTCATAAACATATTTTTGGTGTTTACAATTGTTCTTGGTCATAAACATATTTTTGGTGTTTCAAAGCATCACTATTTTTTATTAGGTGTTTAAATAGAATATTTTGGATTCTTGAGGTTACATGGTTACTAAAGCTTGTACACAGGTAAAAAAGAGGTACAAGTTTGATTGGTTAACTTCTAGTGATAGTTATTTTCTTATATGCAATGAAATGTCATGTGAAATTTTGTCTATAGTACTGGACAGGATAAAACTTTACTCATGCCAAGTATTTCTTTATTTGAAACAAAGATAAATTCTTCACAATTTTTTGAAAAGTTTAACAAAGACTAATCATAAAGGTAAGTTAGTCAATAGTACGTTTCATTCCATTTTTTATGTTGAAAAACAGAGCGGTATTATGCTATTCTGTATTCTGTATCTGTATAGATTCTGCCAATGTAGGCACCCCTCCAATAGAATAGAAATAAAATAATGTCCTTCACCACATAATATTATAAGTTAAGAATATGTCCAATCCAATCCACTACACAATAATATATTTATAAAAATGACTTCTTCTGTTCCGCCACCGTTTAATTTCACAATAAAAGATAAAATCATGTTTGATTGTAATCCGTATGCACCTTTATAATAACCAAAATTTATTATTGGTTGATAACTGTCTATTTGATTTTATTGAAACTGTGATACACTCTGATCATCAGCATAATGTCAAAATATTCTTTAAATTTACTCATCATGATAGATAGTTTTTCTTGTCACATTTTTGTTGTTTGATTAGCAGTTCATACCGCTTCATAAGCAGGTTGTTAATAAGCTGTCTACACACTACATCTAGCTGTCCAGCAATCTTTGATTAAGATCATTATTGCGTTTATCTATAGTATAATAGAAAGGATTAACTATTAGCTAAACTAAGTCTATGTCCTCTTCATAAGATTTTGCTAAAAGTTCACTACCTCTATCGACTTTTATCTCCATCAATCTTTCCCTGTCTGTCTCAAGTGACTCACACGTCAGTAGAAAATGTGATAAAATTTAAGGACTCTTGTTAAATAGCTTACATGTTGGGATATTTTTATTTTTATTGAATGCAATTCGATTCGATTGAAATATATATGTTCTTGTTGCGATTTTGATTCTTGTAGGAATCCTTCCAATGTCTCTAGTATTTGCTGTCTTTGTAGTAATAAATGGGTGTATTTTCCCGATAGTATATTGACAATTCATATATTGGAGAGTTGAGTACATCTTTGAGTCATCAAGAATTTTGATTGGATTTGTTGCTATTATAGCGACAACTTCAGCGCAGGTAGGTGCACAACAGTTTATGTTACCAATCTTTCCGCCGAGTCCTGTTTCACACAAGAGGTTCAGTAAAGTTTTGACATATACTTTATATAAGTCGGCAGATATAGCTCCAACTTGACGTACTCCTTGATCTACTAAGTAAGGTTCGGAAAGGTGACCATTCCATTTAATACATGTAGCAGCATTTTGGTAAAGATTTTGTATCATTAGCAGTGATTGATCAGATATTCCAATTTGGAAGAGTCTTCTAATAAGGTTTGCATGTACCACCACATCAAAGGCTGATTTCCCATTGAGCATAGCTATGTAAATTGGTCTTTTTAAATCTTTATTTTCTCTCTCAAATTCCTCTATGATGAGTTCACACATAAGTGGGGTGGTATCCTCCATGAATCCACTTCGTAACGGGTTTTGAGATTCAATAATTTTTACATTTTCTCTTCGTTTTAAGATCTTTTCTATTATTTTCGATAAGGTTGGTGTGACAGTAATTCCACGGTAGTTAATAGCATCTTTAATATTGCCTTTATTTTTGAATATTGGAAATAATGTGCCAATTTTGAGTAAGTCTGGATCAAAGCAGTATTTGAATGACATATCTATTAGTTCACGTATATAAGCTTTCAGATCTTCACCACCATATATAATATATTCTGCTTTATTTTTGTTCAAACTTGCAATTGCTTTTTCTACTTCCTCATCAGTCACTTGCTTATGGGTATATCTATTTTTGACATATATCAGATATAACTTTAACTTCTTTCTAAACATGTTCAAAATGTTTTTGATCGAACTTTGTATTGACAGACTTTTTAGTTAGTTCTCCAAAATGTACATGCCAGCCGTTCATAATTTGGTTTATCACTGTAATATACTTGATTATCGACGTTGAGTTTATATAAGTTTGGACATTTTTCCTCTTTGATTTCTAATCATTCTAAAAAAAGTTTTGGTATCTGTGACTTTGGATTCAATTAGTTTTTGCCTCTCATGTATTCTTCCAATGGCTATTTCTAAACGACATTGTTTCCTCAATTCATAAGTTGTTTGTTTCTTTTGTTTCAGGTAAATGTTGTTCGGATCATTAATACTTCCATCACTTTTCCAGTTATAAAACGCATTTTTCTTGTTCCTGATAGCTCTACGGATTTCCTTATTCATCACTTTTTGGCTTTTTTTTCCTATATTTTATTTGTTTAGTTGCTTTAATTATAATGTCATTTAATATATTGAATCCGCTCTCAAGGTCTTCACGATTTTGCACTTTTTGTTGAATTAATTTCTTGCATATTTTTCTGTATCAATTTTGTCCCATTTTATTCTGTTATTAAAAGTTTTTGCTGATATTTGAGTTTTTTCTATAACATTGAGTTTTTTCTGATGATGTAAAACAGACAATAACAGAGGATAGTGATCCGAAACATTTAAAGTTACATTTAGTTTCTGTATATCTATTATGTTCTCAGAATATTTGTTTTGGTAAAAAATAAAGTCAATGGCAGTGTCGTCTTTTCCATTTGAATGTATGAAGGTAAGCCCAGTTTCTTTTGAGCATAACTCATGGTCTTGCATAAAGTCAGTGATATATTTCTTTCTTTGAGAGGAAGCACCATTAATTATGTCTTCATTAAAATTTCCTCCTATAATTATCTGATGAGTATTCGAATGGGTACATACAATCTCATTTAGTTGGTCTATACATTATAGTAGCTCTTGTGTATTATTGGTGGGTCCTTTGCATGTTAGATATAAAGAAACAATAATGATGTTGGGATCACCTTCTTATTCGATGCACTGAATTCTACTAGTTCCTGCTTTTAAAGGTGAAATCAAGGGGTCTAGCTCTTTTCGCCACAATATCGCTACTCCACCATATCCTCTCGGCATTTGTATTGGAGGCAAAGGGTAATTAAAGTCAACCGATTTTCCTATTCCTATAAATTTTCCTATTCCTATATATTTAACAGAGTTATCTTCACTTTTGTAAATAAAAATAAACACTGTCAAATGCAAAATTGTTAAGAATGAGGATTTTATTCACTACGAAGGCTGAAAGGTAACAACCAGAGTTATGTATATTGTTTTAGTAATTTAGACAGTTTAATTATGCGTTTGAATCATGTATAAATGTTCAGTTTAAAGTAAGAACTACAAATGAAAATAAAGCGCATTTCTCTCCTTGTAGCCATATACATTTTTTTTTGTTCAGATTCCTTTGTTGTTTATAAATTTAATGTTTTTATACTCTTGTGTTTAAAGAAATGATGTTCTGTTACACATCATTAATTTAACTTAGTTTTAAAGTGAATAATTTGTTTATCATGGCAACACTTATCAAAATTCAAAAAGAGGCCCTTGTCTCACTCATGTTGACATTATTTGGCATCAACACACAAAGTTAACCGAGCTAGTTAGCTCCCTCTTATTTATCATTATTGTTTTATAATGCGAATATATATGTTCCACGTTTATATTATTTTTTGCATTCAATTTAAACGATTAATGATTATTTCACTTATATATGTATGAACTTATTATGTAATGTTTATCACGTATACACTTGGACATTGACCAGCAAAAAATAAACATATTTTATTTTACAAAGAATTAGTTTTCATTCCAGCTACAATACCCATATATACCGTCAAACAAACAAACAAGCACTATTTCAAGTTCACAAAGCAGTCAAACCCACAACAGAAGGTCAAGGACAATTGACATATAACAGACGGAAACTCCATAATATAAGACATTCGTAAACAAGATCCCTGTATAAAGTATCCAGGTCTTTTACTGTCTGATTTATTTGCTTTTCGAAAAGGGCTAACGCCGTCGTCACCGCTAAATCAGTATTTCTATATCTCACGTTCTGCCATTTAAGTCCCAGACTAGACACAATAAAAAAAAAAAAAAAAAAAAAAAACACGAAATACATATAGCTGCAATATTTCCTTTTCTTTTATTAAAACCACAATATCCGTTATATAAATAATCAAAAAATTAATTCCGACACGTTACTCAATCAAATGATGTTGGTTTGCTGATATTTAACAGAGCACGGTTAGAAATCGAAATGAACTGTTGCTCTCGCACATGTTTCTGAAATCTTATTTTGAGTCAAACTCTAAAGTCACAATCTATACGTATAGATCTGCCACTGTTTATATTTATATATATATATATATATATATATATATAAATTTCCAAACTCATTAATTTATTTATATTCATACTAGTAGCCATACATACATTTGTTTAATTCTGTCACTAATTTGCTCGACTACAATGTCTTCAGATAAACAATCCGTGTAAAACATTTTGTTTTTCATTTTAAAATCAAATCAAATATTTTATTGGATAAAGCACATATAATAAATATGACATTGCGTAATCCAAGTGTAAAACATACATGACATATGCAACATGACATATAATTTAAATGCAATATAATGCATAACAAGAGATAATTAATGATATGCTTTATATAATAGACACGTTGTTTACCCCGTATAACTCCGATACAAATAAAATAAAAAATAGTGAGCATGCTTCTATCAATGGCAAGGTCGTGATAATGATATTTGATTAAAGAAATTGTGATATTTGCTTATGAAAATATCACATATTTAAAAAAAAAATCTTGCAATTAGAAATGTTTTATACAAAAAAGAATATATTGACGCTAGATATCCGAAGAACAAATATTGGACTTTCCAATAAATTGTAAATTCTCCTCTGTCTGAACTCTGTGGTACACGGGGTTTTCGATTCCAGCGAGTCCGGATTCATTTGTATCGGAGTTATACGGGGTGAACTACGTGTCTATTTTTTGTAAATATGTAGTTCTTCCATAACTTATGGTAGACCAACTAGCACTAATCGTTATTATAAACTTCTAAAGCTAATATCAAATAATTACGTATTTGTTTGGCATGAGCTAAATTATTTGGATTAAGTAAATATAGTCTACTGATTTGATATCATCATCTTTAATCATTTTTTTAATGCATTTTATCATTGTAATTTATATATTTTTATTGAATTAGTTTTGTCAATCACTGCCAAAAGATTTCTGCAAACGATTAAACTACTCCCGTCACCAATGTAATGAGGAAGTCTAAAGGTGGACGTCGGTTTCAAACCACCCTCAACCGACAGAACACGCACTACTTGAGATTCCCGTAGGAACACATATATTTTACCATCATAATAACAAACTCCTTCACAAGTGTCATTTAAATTGAATGTCCATTTGATGCGTCCGTTCTGGTTAATGCAAGAGATAAAACTGTGTGTTTTTGTTTCAATGCTAGCTGCTATAGTCCCATTTGGAAGACAACACAGACTTTTTAGAGGCATAATAAAAGGATTACCGAATTCGGTTGGTTCACAAAGAAAGGATTCACTAAAATGTTTCAAAACATTTCCATCAACGTTGATGATATCAATATGTGACGTTACCCCACGTGACCAATCAAAATTCGATCTCTTTTTGGAAGCACTACTAGGGCTTGAGTGACAAATGACTGCGTACGCATAATCCGGCAAACGCGAAATATTATAATAGGCCTTATCAGTAACGGTTTTTGAAATAATGCTTAAACTTTTGTAAGTTGATAATCGAAATAGATGCGATTGTGTCCCAGGGGAAGTAACTAAGACATCGTCGTTTTCATGAATATTGGTAATATCGTATACACCTTGAATTGAAATTTCGTCAATGAACTGTTCTTTGACAGTGACTCGGAATCTTTTTACCTTAAAGTTTGCATTGTCTATCGCAATTATTGCATATCCGTGAAGTATTAAACCCGTAAATCTTGCAGCAATTTTATTCTCTTGTCCAATTGGCTCAACTTTAATCTGAAGAAATGATTCAAGTTCAAGTGCACGAGAAGGTAAAACATCCGATGAAAATTTGATTCGCTGGTTGCATACTGTGGCCTCCGTGTCTTCAAAATCTAATGTATTCGCAGGAACGACATGAACTGTTCCTATAGGTTGATCAACAAGTGTGTCACACAAATTTAAAAACGTTTCATTTAGTTCAAATTTTATCTCAATTGGATCATCTGATACTCCAAGTGAATTCAACAGATCAGTATTTTTCTGCAGACTTTCTGGGACGTTTGATAAAACGGTTAACATATCCTTGGTTGAGGTTTGAGATTTTGAATATTCCACTTCATCACGGACTCGTTTTAAATCTTTAACAATTTCTTCCGTTTTTTTCTGTAGATGTTCTACGTTTGCAACGCTTTCTACTTTGTTCAGTATGTCCAAACTTTTTCGATTTACCATTTTCTCAAAATTATAAACGATGGATTTCAATCTTAGAACTGTATTTTTAATCTGCTGCCTTGATTGCTTCAAGAGTTGATCTTTTCCGATCTCTTTAGTGACGATGTCTTGTCCATAGCTAATCAGATTTCCTATTTCGTTATATGCATCTCCCAATTTCTCCCTTGCTAAGTCGGCACATTTTTTGAAATTTTTGCAATTACATTCGGTACTCCTGTGATTCTCAACAGCACATTCGGAACATATAATCTGATAACACCCGAAACAGAAAAAGTCACAAATGTTTCCTGGGTGTTCGGTACAAGGTATGGTATTTTTAGATTTTGCTTGCGTTGTGACATCACCCGAAACAGCCTGTAGCAACACTATAGCTAAATCGTCTGATGGAAAAGAATTAGCCCATTCTTCTGCTGATATATTATAAGATGGCGCTCTAATCTCTCGTCGGTCCACGGGGCACGAAAATTTGTTAAAACGTCGTGACGAATGTATCAGCTGGGTCAAACATTCACAACATATCGTATGGTCACATGGTAATAGTTTTGGGTCTTGCAAAGGATCTTTACATATCGGACAAGATAAATGATCAGATGCAATATTATCCGCAAGTCTTCTCTGCATTCTGAAAAAGAATAAAAAAAATTTTTTTTTATTTCAAATATTTTTTTAAACAAAACAAGAAACACATAAGATCTAAAAATTTGCAAGTACCTGCATGCATTACCAAACCAAAAATGCATTTCCTACAATCATTTAAACAATTATTTTGCTTTATGCCTTCATGTATACTCATGCATATTCATATAATTCTGCACCCAAATTGCACCAATTGTAAACTTGGTTTTACTTATTTTAGTTGATCTTGCTTGATCAAATAACCGAATGACATACCACAGAGAAGGTATGCTGTCGAAAAATATAAACCCCGGAGTCAAAAGTCGGTAGTATGAAAATAGTCTATTGTGTATGTTGAGTCTTATTTAAGAAATAGTTCTATCATGCCATGATCTATGCTCATTTTAACATGGGTAGGCATTACATATGTCAATATATTTATACCGAGCATTAGCGAGGTGTAAAAGGTTGACAATATAATGCCTATCCATTTGTAAAATTTTTACAAATATAATGCCTACCCATGTTAAAATAAGCATTGAGCAATGCATGATGAAATTGAGAATGGAAACAACGGGGAATGTGTCAAAAAGACAACAACCCGACCAAAGAGCAGAAAACAGCCCAAGGCCATCAAATGGTCTTCAACATAGCAAGAAAATCCCGCACCAAGAGGCGGGCTTCACCTGGCCCCTAAACAAAAATATATACTAGTGAAAGATAGATTTATTTCGATTCTAATAGGAAAGTTTTGAACTCTTGTACTTCGAAGCGGACCTATGATACACGCTCGGAAGGCAGCCATTTTGATTTTATGAAGCCAAAACGATATAGAAAATCAACCGTTTCACGATATAAAATGAACAGATATATTTAAACTTACTTAAATTTTAGAGAGATTTTATTTAATTTTCTAGCGAGCAACACCAACACAAATGTCCATTTTGATCTCCGGCGTTGTTCAAAATTCAACTGACGTTGCAATTTCAATTGTGACGATAATCACGTGCAGCCCATGTTTTATTTGAATTAGAACATGGCTTGGTTTCCAAAGCAAAAGAAAAACTTCATATTAGAATTCTTTGTTGAGTGTCATCGGGCTTGCACACATAAAAATATTCCTAAAAATAAAATAGTTGTAAATACCTGTGTTTTATTTTTGCTTTTCTATTTATCATCGAATATTTATAAAAAACACCCAAGATGTCACTTAATCTTACACATATGTACATTAAATTGTCAAGTGTTGAGAAAATATGAAAAAAGAATCAGACTAAAAGAATGGATGAGACAACAGAAATGCAATACTAGTATTATATTTTTACAAGAAAGATATTTTTCGGATAATTCTATAGATAAAGAATTCACGGGAAAATTATATCATAGTTTTGGAAGTACACAATCAAGGGGTGTTTCGATTTACATCAACAAAATAATTAAACATGAAATTATTGAAAAGTATGTAGATCAAGAGGGAAGAATTGTTTTAATCAACATAGAAATTGATAAAAAATATATTTACTTTTGTAAACCTTAACGCCCCAAACACATGTTAAGATAAACATATATTCTTTAAAAAAGCTCTAAATGTCATTGAAAAATATAGTCTTGGTGTAATTATCATAGGGGGAGATATGAATGAGACGCTGAATATAAAAGAAAGAAAAAGTAATAGAAAAGATAAACAAAAAATAAAAAATAAGACAAATGCGGTGAAAATTTGATTAAAAAAAAAGTTATAGACATTTGGAGAGTAATAAATCCAAATAAAACACAATATACCTGGAGAAAACAAAATAATGAAGTAGCTAGTAGAATTGAATATTTTCTAGTCAGTCAAGAAGTGGGACATACGGTAGTCCACACTGGTATAAAACCCGCTACAATTCAAAATATAACCCATTTGGCGATTTCACTTAAGATCAATCATTGTCAGGGGGGAAAGGAAAGGGATATTTCAAATTAAACAATAGTGTTCTTAAAGACGAATCATACATAATAAAAATACACACTTTAATAGATAAATATGAAAAATTAAGAAACCGAAAAAGCTTAGCAATCGTGTGGGATCTGTTTAAAATAGAGGTAAAGGAGACAACTATTGAACGTTGTAAAATTAAAGCTAAACATAACAGAGGTGAAATTGAAAAATTAGAACAAGTACTAAAACTTTTGAATGAAATTCATGAAAACAACCTTGATGAAAAGAAAAATAATTTGCCCAACATAATAGATTCAATAAAGAAAACCGAAGAAAGGCTACAAACTCTATATTCTGATAAAGTAAAAGGAGCACAAATAAGATCAAAAGTTAAATGGATAGAAGAAGGCGAAAAAATACAAAATACTTTTTGGGATTAGAGAAATGGAGACAAACAAAGAAAAATATTACTGCTATTAGGGACAGTGAAGGGGAAATAACTGAAGATCAAGGTAAAATATTAGAAACGGGGAGGAATTAATATGTAAATTTATATACGTCAACTAAGCCAGATTTAGGTAACATTGAGAATTATATTGAAAATACAAAAATATACTGAAAACTATCTACACACGAAAGTAATGAAGTCGAAGGAAAGCTGACAATAGAGGAATGTACAAATTATGTCTTTAAAATGAAACTTAACAAAACATCGGGTATCGATGGTCTTCCAATTGAATTTTATAGATCTTTCTGTTCCAACTTACAATATTTTGCTGTAGATGTCTTTAATAATTGCTATATGAAAAAAGAATTGACAAATTCACAGAAATGAGGATTTTAAAAATTACCCTTATTTACAAGAAAAATTACCCTTTAAATGTAGACAATTATAGACCAATTACATTTTTTTTTTTTTTGTGTACTTTATTAAATGTCGATACCAAAATTATAGCATATTCTCTTGCACAAAAACTTAAACCAGTATTGCATGAAATCATTCACAGTGATCAAAACGGGTACGTAACAAACAGATATATTGGGTTTAATATTAGACAAATCCAAGATATTACACATGTATAGACTATTAAAAAAAATTCAACGTAGATGGGGCAATCCTTTTTTTAAAGATTTTTCAAAGGCATTTGACTCGTTAGAATAGGAATTTATGTATTGTTCATTAAAGAAATTTGGCTTTCAGAATTCTTTACTGAAGTGAATAAATACTTTATATACAAATATAAAGGGTTGCATGTTAAATAATGGTTGGATTTCAAGAGCGTGGTATCCGTCAAGGGTGTCCCGCGAGTTCTTTAATTTTCGTTATTGCTGTTGAAATTTTAGCCTGTAGATTAAGAAAAGATAAAAAATTTAAAGGTTTTCAAATCAAACTAGATAATAAAACACATACTCTAAGGTTAATCCAGCTTGCAGATGACACCACTTTATTTTTAAATTCAAAACAAGAAGTTTCATTAACTTTGAACATTATCGAAATTGTCGGATCACTTTTAGGCCTAAAGCTTAATCGAAATAAAACCGATGGGATATGGCTCGGAAATTCAAAGTGTGAACACAAGAACCGATAAAAGTATTAGAAATATATTTCGGACTTTTATAAAAATGAGTGTAAAAAATTAAACTTGCAAAGACAATACGAAAAATCTGAAAAAATAATTAAAGACTAAATAAAAGAAAATTAACTATGTTAGGTAAAATAACTCTTGTTAAATCATTGATCCTTCCGAATATCACTTATGTTGCATCAGTTACAAAAATTGATAAAGAATACCTTGCAAAATTTAAAAAAAAAATATATAGTTTTATATGGAACAATAAACCAGAAAAAGTTAAAATAGTTATAATAAGTAAAAATAATCATGCTGGCGGGCTTAAATTGATAGACATAGATAACTATATAGAATCCATAAATATTAATTGGGTAAAAAGACTCATTGATAATGAAGACTCATCACCCAATTGGACAGTCTTACCAAAATTTTACCTAGACAAATTTGGACAAGAATTCCTTATATTTAAAATGAACTTTAACAATATTATTTTGATTAATACACTATACGAAATTGTTCCAGAATTTTACTTAAAAATAATCATCTCATAGATAAATTCAGAATCAGAAAAAGAATCATATAAACCTATTAGAAAGCAATTTTTATTAGGCAATAAACAAATCAAATTAAATGGTAAATGTCTTATTTTCAAAAATTGGATAAACAGTAAAATTGTATTTGTAAATGACATGATTGATGATAAAGGAAAAATTAATCAAAATAAGATTTTAGATAAACTATCTTGCCATGCTTATTGGTTTTCGGAATATACTTAATTGATGAAAGCAATACCAAAACAGTGGTTACAAGAGCTAAATAAAAGAAGAATCAATTAAAACAAAAGTTGCTACCGACTCCGAGTTTAAACTTCAAGATAGAGAAGGAAAAATGGTATCAATAAACACATTTTCCTCCAAAGATATTTACATCTCCCTTTTAAATAGATATTATGAGAAAGCAATAGGATTTCAAAAATGGGACATAATTCTTAATTTAGATAACAATACAAGGAAAAGAGAACAAATTTTGTACTTTATCTTTAACTATATCCAAGATAATAAATTGAGAATGTTAAGATGGAAATTTCTACATTACATTTTACCAACCAAACAATTACTTTTCTCTTTGAAAATAACTAAAACTCCTTTATGTAATATATGTAATTGTCATTAAAGATTATGAACATTACTTTTTGACATGCAAATATCTGAAATTATTTTGGGATCAAATAAAACTAATACTAGATAAACTTAAAATAGGACATCTTATAATATCACTTGCATCAATTTTGTATGGATACAAGATAAGCGATACAAATTACTACAATATTAACGACTTTCTAATAATTATACTTTTTACTATATATAAAGTATATTATATATCAGAACAGAAAACAAAACAAATTTATGTGTTTGAAATTTTTAAAAATGAACCTCTCTAACGTTACGAAATATTGACAAATAAACAAGGCAAATATAAAAACTTCTACAATTTGGTTGCAGAAAAAATTAATTTATCTTCTTAAATTCAAATTTATAATATATCATATTAGTTTCTTTTTAATCTGTTGCTTATAATTTGTTAGCTAAATTGTATATTGTGTACTAACAAGTACTAACCTTATCACTGAAATGCTATATACTAACGTTAACGAGGCCGGGATAAGGTATCGGTACTTTATGTATCTCTAACAAATGTACATTTCAAATAAACAAAACCAACTTTATTTCTATCCAAAAAGCTAAATAAAAACTAATTATTCAACACAGTTCAATCTATTTGATACTGTATTGCCATTTTCAAATAAATTTGAAGGTAGTTTTGTTTTCGAAGTAATTTGAAAGGTTATTGAACAAACAAAAAATTCGGAAGTAGCAACAGTCGGTTTCTAACATACGTGTAAAGGAGTAAGAACCGAAAAGTATCAATTTACGAGTAATGCTACACATTTATCTCCAACCTCCGAAGCAAGGTTATCGGTTCTCCGAACTTTCCCGATGTCCTGCGTTTAATTGATTGCCGAGTTTATGAGCTTCGGTTCTTGCTTGGAAGTTGATTTATCTAAGATTAATTCCAGTAACAAGTCTGGTGTCATGCAATCTCGGTATATATCTTATGATCTCTTATTAATTGACGAAAATGTAAGAAAGGTGATAATGGAATTATGAGATATAATGATTTTTGTTTGTTTGTCTGTTTTCTTAACGTACAGTGATACATAGTTCATACAGATCTAAGACGAAAACACTTCAATCATTTTGTGGTAGGGGTGAGCAGATTAGGCATTGAGTATCCAACCCTTTTCCAATATAATGTGAATAACAAACATAAATACCCTATCATATATTTTGTGATAAGAATATTCCTATAGCTATCATGCTAACGCTATTCATGGAGAGAAGAATCAGAGAAAATAGACTTAGATTTACGACTGTAGCTTTAATCGCATCTGTGAAAAAATCGATATATACTTAGTTTCAGATACTTATGATTGAATCAGGAACAATCTCATATATTTCCTCTTCATTTCCCGACACTTACTTGCATAATCCAGGATTGAGGAAAGCAATGATCATAATCATAATTTTTTCTTCAAACGGTTAAAACCATTCTGTGATTGACAATTTTATGAAAATTTAGCTGTTAAAAACGAAAGTAGAAAGCACAAAATTGTTATTTATGACCTTAAGTCGATTCTAACCGGACGTTTTGAGAATGTTCGACCCTATCATAAATTTTCTAATTTTGTCGAGCCGCAGTGGAAATTCTGCTTAGTTTTCGTAATACATGAACTTTCAACATCAAAACCAATAATCAAGGTTCGCCCAGTACATATATCGTACATTGTCAAAAAATCAATATTTTCTTGATTATTATGACTGATGTTCTTCATAAGAATAAACTACATAGTATGTATTTAGTATTACTTACATTTTACTCATTATGTTTACTCACAACGAATTTAGGTTATACACAAAGAATTCAATGCAGAATCGAAAGTACAATTATGTTGAATAGTTAAAATATATAACATGAAATGATTGTATGACGTTTATCTATACGAATAATCATGCATATGACCAATTATTTGTTTTTAAATCATTGTCAATAGTTTTCTTAAGTGATTTAAAGTTTATAGGGAAATTAAATTATACCAACACATGTATCATATACAACAGTAACTTCCTTTTAACTTTACAGATTTTACAAATGCAAATTTATATTTCTCAGAAAAAGTTTAGCAACACAACTTCTGCCGAAAAAAAAAGTAAAACAAAATGTAGATTTATCTTCCAAGTTTGTGTTTTCGTGATATTCAATTGTTTGTGTATTAAAAAGTACTATAGTTATGCAGTTATGTTGGTCAAATTTCAGACAGCTACGCTGATCTTGTTATATTTTGCAAATGGTCTAATTTAAAAAAATGCATATAACATGAACAATTGACAAAGTGGCGAATTTGAAGGCATCATTGATTACCTATGAAAAAAATCTAACATTTCCTTCTCGAAATGTCTTTAAAATTTTTTTGGGAGGTTACTTTTTTACCCCCCCCCCCCCCCACACACACACACCACACCCCACACACACATTTTTATCATATTTTTTTAATTTTCTCCTTTAATCAATGCAATAACTTTTTAAAAAATGTATTCAAATAATTTTGAGCTTTTTCTGCAAAGATATAATCTCTCAAAATTTTGCCAATAATTTCTTTCAAAAAGTAACTAATCTGTGGGATAACTGTCGATTCGAGATTTAAAGAAAAATCTCTTCATATATCACTCGAAGCAGGATCTGCTTACCCTTCCAAAGCACCTGAGATTATCCCCGTTTTTTGTAAGGTTCGTGTTGCACATTCTTTAGTTTTCTACGTTGTGTTTTTGTACTGGTTTTTGTACTGGTTTTTGTACTGTTGTTTGTCTTTTGGTCTTTTTCTCTTTTTTTGCCATGGCGTTGTCAGTTTATTTTCGACTTATGAGTTTTAATGTCCCTTTGATATCTTTCGCCACTCTTTTATAAGTGATGTAAACATACATCATAGCTTTCAAATATTTTAGTTTGAGCATTCGGGACGAAGATAAATTCCAGAATTCGGACGTTTATGTTGATAAAAAGTAAGAAAATTGTATTTACAAGAATTCTCAAAAGATATAACTATTTTAACAAGAACTAGTTTGGTCTTCATGAGAACTGAACACAAGTGTACGGGCTTTTTTTTATATATTCACAATATTTTGTATGTTTCAATAACACCATTGAAATTTCCTTTGTGACTTTATTAAAACAGTTTCAATCTTTGCTGCATGCTATTTGATTTTTAGTTGTATTTCTTTTAGTGATTATTGTGGCATAGCTTTGTACCGTTGGTAAAATTGGTACCGTTTATGTTATTCGAAGATATGCGGAGCAGTTGTGTATTCCTGTGACATACATATAAACAGCATATATCATAGGACTTTGTTCTCATAGCAACAATTCAAACTAATTTTACACAAAACTCAAATAACCTACCGTTCTTGTCGTTTGTAATATTAAGAGAAAATTTGTATCATTATTTGAAGGTCAGAATGTTTTTTTTTTTTTCAATTCTGTATTCTTTAATTTTAAGGCCATTTTTCTCTAGTTTTTATACATTTTGCTTGTTATTCTTCATTCTTTAATTTCAGCACCTTCATTATAAAAATTCTCTGTTTTAAAGTTTTATCCTGTTTTTCTCTATTTATATTGTGTGTCCTTTTTTCTACACTTTTTACCCATTAATTTCTATTCTTTAGACCCAATCCTGACCCTCTCATACGATAATGCTTTTTGTGTTTCATTTGTTTTTCTTTATAAAAATAATGAAATGTGGTATGATTGCATATGAAAGAACTATCCACCAGAGCTCAAATGAAGTGGATGTATGCACTTATAGGCCACCGTAAAAAGGTGCGTTCGGCAAAAGATTTTACAACCCTATAAAATAACAGAAAAAAGCATTCAATTCTTATGCTGCAACCATTAAATCACGTGTTATGTCAAGTTTGTTCGTTTGTTTTCCTATGCATTTTTGTGACGTTGTCAAGGGAAGCACGTGCAATCGTGAATGTTGCATTTTTTGAGAAATAAACTATAATTTTGGAATTAATACATTGCGATTGCATTGTTGTCAGCCGATGAAAATTACTGATTCTTGTGAAACTCACATGTAATGTAATTTTTCCTAAATTAAGTGTTACATTAAGATCAGTCTGGGTTTAAACAAAACATACCTGACTTTTCAAATAATGTAGTCAATTGCCCTCCAAAAATCAGGCTTAAGTTACAAAAAAAAAAACCACTAAGTTTAAAACGTAGTAAAATTTTACATGTCATATAAACCGAATTCACTAATCCTTCCAGTTTTAACAGATAAGACAGTTATCTTGTTTGCACTTGGTATTTAATGTAGATCACCTTAATAGAAGATAATTACACACGATAGACATTCCTTCGGTTGTATCCTGCGAACGAAAGGCCAACAGTTCCAACTCTAAACAAACAGGGGACACGGTAAACTCCCCAAGTCTGGAAGAACATGATTTATTTAATAGTTTTTGGTTTTGAACTAGCTTTCAGTAACTGTATGTTAGTTGTGTTTTGTGCTCCGTACCGATCGCGTTCTATTGATTTAAGCCTTTTGCTATTGAGTTTTACTGTTGGTTCTTGTGTTGTGCTGTTACACAGTTTAGGGGAGAGTTGAGCGCTCACAAAGTTTAACATGCTAAAACCCGCTACATTCTTCATGTGCCTGTCCCAAGTCATGAGCCTGCAATTCAGTGGTTGTTGCTTTCCTTTTATCTGAAATCGGAGCCTTAATAAAACAAATCAATAACAAGAGACTTTTTTCCTGAGGGTGTAATATCTAAACTGAATTGCACTTGTTCATCATCCCATTACAAATTCATTAAACAGTCTCGCTAGTCATGTCATTTTATTGTTCCTAAATCAAATACAAAATTATACAAAACAGGTTTTTTTCTTTTAGTAGTCCAAAAGAGTGGAATTCACTATCTCGTAAAATTAAACAAATCAAATTGTATCGGCATCTAGATACTTTTACAAGTCATTATATTTTTAATAAAGTGTTGATTTTGTAAGTTTTACCACAATGTATACATGTACCATAGTTGTTAAATATCGTGATAAATGACATTATTACGTGATTATTTCTGTATTGGCTTTGTTATTGGTTCGAGACTTGCTGTAGTGTGTAGCATCACCACCTGATATAGGTACTCCTGAAGCAAAGACACAATGATAACAAAAACTATCTATTTTATTTCCCGTACAATACACAACTATTTTCCGTAAATTTATCCGTTTACGTGGATTTCTCTGTGTAAACAATAGTTACTCCGAAATACATGCAGTGTTGTTAAAGCCTAAATATAATATAATTTTCTTCTACGAAAACGTTTTGAACATGTACCACCCGGTCCAAATCTGATGGTTTAAAGAGAGAGGAAGCCAATTAAGGATCATAACCAGCCCTAAATTGTAGTTACATTATTAGGAATCAATATCACAAAACTTTACTTGTCAGCAAAAAGTAGAATATAATAAAGATAAGAAGAATTTGACCTTACCTGACTTCAATTTGTTTCCATCACTTCGGGGGTACCTATATCCGTTGTGAATGCGTCACTATGAATGACAAGGCCAATACAGAAATAATCACGTAATGATATCTTTATTTATCAACCTCTGTTTTTGTTTATTTTTTTCTTTTCACAAGATTTTTACATCTTCAACCCAGAACTGGAACTATCCCAATCTGAGTTTTCTTTTATAAACTGCAATGTCAAATGATCCGGTGCTGTTTCGAGGTATCATTTATAATTTCTGTTTCTGGAGACAAGACTGAGGATATTTTCACCCTTTTTCAGTCACTATATGTATTTCAATTCATATGTAGACGCAACACACAAATAGTGATTTGAAACGTACTGCTTTTGCATGAGAGATATAGAAATAAAAAATAAATAAAATTAGGAGTAACATATGATTGCCAATGAGACAACTATCCTTCGACACCAACTTACCACAGAACAAAGACGTAAACAATAACAGGACATTGTGTTGCCTTCAACAATTGATTTGCCTGGGTCGGGTTGAAAAATAAATGACACCTTACAAAAACATGAGAAGCGAAAGTAAACAGTAAATCAAGTTGCACCCATTAAACTGTTAAAATGTTTTAAATAGTTATGAGGTCGACATGGAATGATTTTTGTGATAATCTCTACAGAATCGTTGCCCAAACCTGAATTATTAAATAATCAGCTGAAAAAAGGTTTTTTAATGTGATCGTGTATTCAGTCTGCAATATTGCCACACCAAACGTTTAGGCATGTTTATTGTATGTAAAAAGTAAAATAACAAAAATACCGAACTCCATGGAAAATTCAAAATGAATAAAGGAAGACTCATCAGTTTGGGTGTAGATAGCTCTAAGAAGAATTCTATATGGTTTAATTTAATATATAGGGCAATCTCAAATAAATACCTTACAACATATAAACCATATAGTAATTCACAATACACACGTACTAAGAACGATAACTTTAATTATCTCCATATAAATGAAATCAAATATAAGTTATCCAATTAGTAAACTTCAGTTTGAAATATACTGAAATTGATAAAATAGGTTTTACTACAAATCATAAGTATCTCTACCGAAGTCTATATCCGGTAACTGATCAAATAATATTACAAATATCAGTAACACCTTGTGCCAACGATCATATATGCTGAAAAGCATTATTTGCTTAAAGTATTAAAAAAATGATTTGAAAATTTGCAGATAATCGTAAACTAACAATTAAATTGGGTCTTTCAAAGGTGTAAATGTTAGTTTCGTCAATTTTATGTTAACCATTGTTTTGTGCATATTCTTGGGCTGGAAAGGAGGGGGTGTCATATGTCCTTGACATTGACATTTAATCCCTATGATAGTAAATCATTACCCAATTCATATCTGGCTCATAACATTTTTACCGTTAAACTTATGTTAACCAAAATTGGTATGCAGTTTCATCATGGGCTGTAGCTGGGTGTGTTATATACTAAAGACAGGCCACTCTGACATTTAACCCCTTTCATAGTAAAACTTTGTCTGATTTGTGTCCTGTCAATAAATTTTGTACTGTAGAATTTAGGTTGATACAACTTGGTATGTTGATGTATCATGGGGTGGGGGGTTGTCATATATCAATCAGGTCACTCTGAATATGACCATTGACTCCAATAATAGTAAAACATCGTGATTTATGTATAAATTTACCGTTTTGTTTGACAGCACGTAGATATCATTTATTCCATATCACTTAATATGAGATGATGTATCCGCATACTAATTTTGTTCAACCTAAGTTCAATGGTATAAAAGTTATGCACCGGACATGAAGCGGAACGGACAGACAGACGGAAAGGTCATTCCTATATAACCAAACTTTGATTGTTAGGTACAACCATGTATTTTGTTATACTGTCACTCTTTCAGTTGACATAATAATTCAAAGCAGAATCGAGTTTTTAAGATTAAATTAAAATTTCAAATGATCATATTTGTGCAGTCTATGACAAATCAAGAAAAAGTCGCTTATCTTCAGTTTAACTTTCATCATTTTATTTATTTTTTTATTTTAATACTCTGGAACACTTATAATTAATTCCCAATATTTAGCGATGAAATGAAACCTCAATGTATCAGATTTTATTCAACATCGAATTTATAATAATACAAAAGTACATATTGAATCAATTGGAAGATTTTCGATTGCATTTATTCTTTTTTTAATCAACTGATTGTTAATAGAAGAAACACCATCAATATACCTGTATGTGAAATTAAATGATCTAGTTTTTTTTATCTGCTTGTTTTTTCAAGTGTCTGCAGTAACTCCGACTCATATGAAAATAAGAAAAGGCCGATCAGGAGAGGTGCACAGTTGCACAATATTGATTTACATTGTGTACTTAGAAAAAAAAATTGTATATATACATGTATGATAGTAAGTGGCATGACTCAAAAACAACCATTTTCCTCTGTTGCAGTGGATTGACATTTTTACCTCTTATGTGTTTGTTTTGTTCACACATTGTTGTCAATATAATGGAAATTTATGCGACTGTCTTGCAAGTGAGAGGTTTAGCTAGCTATAAAACTAGGTTTAATCCACCATTTTTGACACTAGGAAATGCCTGTACCAAGTTGGGGACAGTTGTTTTCCGTTCGTTTAATGTGTTTGAGCTTTTGATTTTGCCATTTTAAAAGGGACTTTCCGTTTTGAATTTTCTTTGGAGTTCGGTATTTTTGTTATTTTACTTTTTACAGGGCCTTGCAATGCTGGATCTATGTGTGCCTAGAAGTGGTTGAAATCCAGATAGTACTTACTTGAACACAATGTTGTATTATAATAAAACGAAGGTAAAATTTGATTTTTGTGGTGTCGACATTAACCATTCAAGAGTGTCTTCAGTTTAGGTTGAATAATTAACGTACCATTTTATCACAATGTCACGCAGCATTAAATACTGATCAAGTTTGAATTTGATTGTTTTGAGGAGCCACCTTAAAGAGTTATGCCCCTTAGTTGAAATATTAATTTGTTTTGGTTGCCAGATGATAAGACCATAAAAACATTTATTCTTCTTTCCTGTTTTTTGACAAACAAAAATGGTAGGTAGATAGGTAAAACAATTCTATTTTTTAGACATTTTATATGGAAACCATATATATATAGGAAAAGGCTATTGGTTTTACTAGTGCCTAACCAAAAATGGCCATATATATGCAAGGGAAGGCAAAATTTAGATTAGGTAGGAAGACAAAAAACACAAATATTTTTTTGACTCTTATGAATAAACTCATCATAGATACCAGGATGAAAGTTCTGTTTGACAAAACATTTGACAAAATATTTTAAAATGTTACCACAGATGAAACATGAAATACAGGGCACGTTAAGCTTACTAGTTCCATGTGTTAATCACACAAGGTAACATTTCACAGGAAGACATTTCTTAAAATAGTACACATTATTCTGAATCTTATTTGTCATTACGTTTGCTATTGCATATTAAACACTAATTCATTCATCAATCCATCAAATGTTTAGAATAAGGTTGTAAGTTGAACATATTCATTTGACTTGGCTCATCTGACCTTGACTTCATTTGCATGTTTCATTGGTCAGTCTTAAATATTTTTGTAATGAGATCCTTTAACATCAAGATCAAAATTCTTTACGTTTTTACAGTTTCGTGTCCTGCGCATAACTTGTTTATCCTTTAACGTATGGTTTTGATATTTGGCTCATTGGTGCAGCACATCAAGAGGATGTGTGCTACGCTGCACCAGTATAACGGCATTTGCGACCTTCAAATCGCGACGGATCATACGATAGCTTTTACTGCTTACAATGAGGCAATTGAGTCCAGGAAATAATGGAATAAAAGGGATTCCTTCGATAGTCATGAAAATTTCCAGGACTCACCAGCATTTGGTTTACAGTTCTGGAATATCTGCCACGCAGGGTGATAAATATAAAAATAAAAAGATGTGGTATGATTGCAAATGAGACAACCATCCACCAGAGACCAAATAACATAGAAGTTTACAACCCTAGATCACCGTATGATCTTCAACAATGAGTAAAACCCGTGCCGCAAAGTCAGCTATAAAAGGCCCAGAAATGAAAAAAATGTAAAACAGTTCAAACGAGAAAATTAACGGCTTGATTTATGTACAAAACAAAAAACAAAATACAATATAATATACAGCAACAAACGACAACCACTGAATTACAGGCTCCTGATTTGGAACATTTCAAAAATGTGTCTATTGTCTATCACTGCTAATATAAATTAAACAGCATGCGTCTAGCCAGTTGACTTTTAATGAATTACTGAGTACAATATTAAATATCTCGGGACTAACAGTCCACATGTAGAGGTATCGACAAAGTGGTTTCGATTAATAAACGGTACAATAGTATAGCATCCAAATTAGCCTTTCAGTGCATGTCTCTTCAGTGATGTTCAAAGCCAAAGTCTTTGTAAGTTCGAAAACGTGATACTACTGTTATCAAACTGGTATAAGCCATAGGGACTTAAAACATAGCTTAACCCTGACAAGAAATCAAAGCTTTAATCTAACAGGTCCATATATAACGTATTGACTATGTGAAAGTCCTCAACTCATATATAACATAAATTATGTAAATAGTGTATTATCGAAATGGACTTCAATGTGGCGGCGAAAAATTTCGAACCGGAACGGCTTATTTTCGAATCTAAATTTAGAATTATAGAGCCAATATATATATAAATAGAAACATAGCGTCCATATACTTAAAAAAAGACACAAGGCTTCAGGTACATGAAATGCCCTTTGAATCACGTAATCGAAATAACCAATGAAAAAAGAAGAATGCTACACCATATGTTATATATTCCTGTATTCATGGTAATCCTAGATTCTATTAATTCTTCTTGTGAAGCTGCTGTATGAAGTTTGTCTTATAAGAAAACAGGTCTGGATCAGTAGCCGTGATAACAAATGTGAGAGTTCATTTTGCTGTGTTTCGATCAATTTCAGAATCTAGCTATTTCATAAACGTGTTACGTCCATACATGATATCGTTGCATAATATTTGGTTGACCAAGATTTTTTAGACGGACGGTAATTATACAGCAATATAACTGATTAACGACGTAATTCTATAACAATAGATAAAAGTCAAAAATAGATCTAAAATGCGGTCAATAACTTCTATCTTAGGTAAATCGATTAATATTTTATTCCGCGAATAATGTACTAAAATAGATAAAATAGGGTAAAATAATGTTAAGAAACAGGATATGTTTGGATTCCATTCACGTATTTTTGATTTAAGGAGGTCAAGTGTTTCAAACAAATATGAAGATTATTCAATTAAACACCGTACTGCCTTCTTGTATTACATTTAATTATTATAAGAAAGTTAGTAAATGTTTGAAACCCCAGGTGAAAAAGGTTTAATTTAAAGTATTAAAAGTAAGGTTCCTTGTTAACACTTATAGTATATTGAAATCATAATAATATTTTTATCCATTTGTATACAATTACTTTTGACATCGTGAGTAAGTTTAAGGGCATTAAAAAAAGATTGCTAATTCCCCTATGTATGACTTTTTATACATATTGTATTAAATAAGATTGAGAATGAAAACTGGGAATGTGTCAAAGAGACAACAACCCGACCAAAGAGCAGAAAACAGCCCAAGGCCACCAATGGGTCTTATATTATATGTTTGTATATTTTCAATATCACCCGATGCGTTTCCTTGTTTAAAAAAAAATTAATAGCATTTAAAAGTCAAATTATACGATCATAATACAATGATGTCAGTATACTCATATGTTTTAAAGCAAGAGGTATTCACCGTTTCATATTACTGTTCTAAAACATTCTTCTCGTCAATTTAAATATCTTTTCAATACCTTTTATATCTAGTAATCAATTCCATAAGTTGTGATCAGTGCATATTGCATTTTAAATGGAAGAGTAAAATATAAAATGACGTAATACCATTTGAGGCTTTACAATTCACACATATGTAAAAGAAGGTAAACAACTATCGTGTTACTTCTGAGAAGATCAAGTAATTTTATTTATTTTCGAAGAAACAAATATCGTTCGAATAAACGTAAAAAATAACAAATTGGCAGTAACTAAAACTGAAACACCGATTTTATATTTAGCTGTTTTAATGTGTTTCATCCTCAAATTTCAGTGTCTAATAACCATTCACAATAATGAATTTGGGTAAACACTAACGAAAAGTGTTAAGTTCACATAACTTGTTCATCAATATCAAATCGTTTGTTCAATGAAATCTTGAAGTACCTTCATAAAATCATCATGTATACCATGATTACAATTTTGTACGACGCACGTTTCGTATATAAAAGACTCACCATTGACGCTAGAACGTAAAAAAAAAAATAAAAGGCCAAAAATAGTACAAAGTTGACGAGTATTTAGGACCCAAAATTCCGCAAGGTGTTGCCAAATACAGCTGAGGTAATCTATTCCTTGGTAAGAAAAACTTAACAGTTAATTTAAGATGATAATACTTGTCAACACATAAGTGCTGACTACTGGGCTGATGATACTCTCGAGGAGGAAATCATACAAGAGTCTCACATTATTACATATCTATCTTTTGTTTTCAATTTTGATTTTTTGATAAAATATTGCAAAACTGGTTAACATTCTTGCTTTTTGAACAAATTAGTACTGACACCATTGTATTATGATTATATTTTAAATTCTATCAATTATAAAAACAATTCAGGAAAACAGATCGCTTGATTTAAAATTTACACACACATTATTTCAATATGCATAAAAAGCCACACATAAGGACATTAATATCTTGGTTGGCGCCTTTTTAGATTCATGAAAAATGACTTCTTTTATATTTGCAAAATGGTAGTTTACTGAAATCATAAAACACATTTTGAATTTTCTTAAATATTTAGACAACGGTAGTACTGTATTATGGCCAGCCATTGTGGAAATAACTCACTTTATATTGATAGGAATGATTTATTATCAACATGTTCATAAATGAGTTATTGATATCACTAATAAATGTTATTGCATAACAATATATATGTGTAACATGTTAGTGAACATCAAGTTGTTGATAAATTAGTATTCATAATAATAATGATAAAAATAATATTATTCATACATCATCATCATGATTAGATATTTACACAGATAAGTTTGAAGTCTGATATCCAGACTTAACCATGACCTACGTGAACACCAGGAAAAAACTCATAATGTCCTTTTCGGAAAACCAGAATTGAACAAATGCAGATAAGGACGATTTTTTATCAGAAATTTGTCAATAAATTTTGAGCTTTTTGGTCACTATATACATGATATAATTATAAAATTTCAAAGACGCATGGTCTTTATGGGTCAAACATTTCATTTGAGAACAATGAGTGTTTAGGGGAGGGGAGGACAATTTCTTTTTCATGATGGCACAGAGACGATTGCATAACAGTCATACATTGGAGCATATCCATTATATAAATAGTTTGATAGAAACTGTAATTAACATTGTAGTATTTCGAGTCCAACATTTTTTTTTAAGTTATATTTTTATGTCATTATTGCTTATAATTTCAAATCCCATTTTCTGTCCTCTGTTATTGTCTGTCATATTCAAGTACACAGGAAAAACGCCTTTCTATAATAAATGAAGCTATAAAAATTCGAACTTTTTGTGAGTTGAAGTAAAATATAAAAGTTGGACGTTACACTGCAGTTTTGCAAAACTACAATGCCTTCACATAAGCAAAAAAAAAAACGTTTTATTCATTTCTATCATTGTAATTTATATATTTTTATTAAATCAGTTTTGTCTATCACGGTCAAAAGATTTCTGCAAACGATTAAACTATTCCCGTCACCAAAGTAGTTAGAAAGTCTTAATGTTGACACTGGTTTCAAATCACCCTCAACTGATAGAACACGTACTACTTTAGACTTGCGTAAGAATACCAATATTCTGCCATCATAAAAACAAACGCCTTCTGGGGTGTCATATAAATTGTATGTCCATTTGACGCGTCCGTTTTTGTTAATGCAAGAAATAAAGTTGTTTGTTTTTGTTTCAATGCTAACCACTATAGCCCCATTTGGAAGACAACACATATTTTTTAGAGGCATAATGAAAGGATAACCGAACTCGGTTGGTTCACAAAGAAAAGACTCACTAAAATGTTTTAAAACATTTCCATCGACGTTGATAATGTCAATATGTGACGTTACCCCACGTGACCATTCAAAACTGATCTTCTTTTTTGAAGCGTCACTTGGACTTGAATGACAAATAACTGCGTACGCATATTCTGGCAAACGTGAAATATTATAATAGGCCTTATCAGTTACAGTTTTCGAAATTATGCTCAAACTTTTGTAAGTTGACAAACGGAAGAGACACGACCGTTTCCCAGGGGCAGTAACTAAAACATCGTCGTTGTCATGAATATTTGTAATATCGTATACACCTTGAATTGAAATTTCATCAATAAACTGTTCTTTGACAGTGACTCGGAATCTTTGTACCTTAAAGTTTGCATTGTCTATCGCAATTATCGCATGTCCGTAAAGAATTAAACCTGTAAATCTCGCGGTTATTTTGTTCTCTTGTCCACTTGGTTCAACTTTAATCTCGAGGAACGTTTCAAGTTCCAGTGCTCGAGAAGGTAAAACGTCTGATGAAAATTTGACTCTCCGACTGCAAACTGTGGCCTCTGTATCTTCAAAATCTAAGGAATCAGCAGGCAGAACGTGAACTGTTCCAATCGGTTGATCAACAAGTAAGTCACACAATTCCAGAAACATTTCGTTTAGTTCAAGTTTTATCAAAATTGGATCATGTGATACTCCAAGGGAATTTAGCAGATCTGTATTTTTCTGCAGACTGTCGGGGATTTTTGATAAAACGGTCAACATACCCTCGGTTGAAGTTTGAGATTTGGAATATTCTATGTCACCACGGACTCTTTTTAATTCTCTAACGATTCCTTCCGTTTTTTTCTGCAGTTGTTCTACGTTTACAACGCTTTCAACTTTGTTCAAAATGTCCAAACTCTTTCGATTTACCCTTTTCTCGAAATCATGAACGATGCTCTTCAATTTAAAAACAGTAGTTTTAATTTGCTGTCTTGATTGCATTAGGAGTTGATCTTTTCCGATCTCTTTATAATTAGTAACGATGCCCTGTCCGTAGCTAATTAGATTTTCTATTTCGTCATACGAATTTCTCAATTTCTCTCTTGCTAAGTCGGCACATTTTTTGAAATTTTTGCAATCACAGTCGAAACTCCTATGTGTGTCAACAGCACACTCGGAACATATAATCTGATAACACCTGAAACAGAAAAAGTCACAAACATTCTGAGGGTGTTCGAGACAAGGTATACCATTTTTAGAGTTTGCTTCCTTTTTAACATCACCCGAGATAGCTTGTAATAACACTAGAGCTAAATCGTCTGTTGGAAAGGAATTAGCCCATTCTTCTGCTGATATTGTATAAGATGGCACTGTTATCTCTCGTCGGTCCACAGGGCACGTGACTTTGTTAAAACGTCTTGTTGAATATATCAACTGGGTCAAACATTCACAACATATCGTATGGTCACAGGGTAATAGCTTTGGGTCTTTTAAAGTGTCTCTACATATAGGACAAGATAAATTATCAGATGTTATGTTATCCGCAAGTCTTCTCTGCATTCTGCAAAGGAATAAATGTTTTATTATCTGCTAATATTTCTGAAACAAAAGAGGGAACACTTCAACTTGTAATGTCTTAAAGACAGAACTTCTTTAAGATTCAGCCACCAACTGCATGCAGAATGAAAGCGTTTCCTTCAATAAACATAGTTTATATATTTCTCAAACAATATTAAACTTTTATGTTGCTTAATGTATACATCATTTAGTTCTCTGTTCTTTGTTCTGTGGACTGTTGTCATTTCGTTGTTTTACTTTTGGCCATAGTACGTTATCTAAATATTGTCAGGACTTGCAAGTATTGCTCCTCGTAAAGATTTTTGTGAAAAAAGAGGTACATGTACAAATTTGTGTTTTCTAATTATAACTTGTTTGCATTGTTATTTGTTCGTTTGTTGGAATGTATTGTGTGAAAAAGTAACTGTTTGGCAGTTGTTTTATCAGCGCCACTGGCATTACTGCTATATTTGTATAACTCGAATTCTGTATTTTTAAGTCTCATTTCATTGGTTATTGTCATCGTTACCAAAACGTTTAAACATGTATAAAGGTTCTAAAAGTACTAGTGCTGGAAAATTGATTTTTTCTGGATAAAATGTTAACTGCATGTTGTTGAAAATAAGCAAAATATAGTGTATTGGTGTTTAAGCTCAGACTACTCATTCAGTAATTGAACAAAGTTCTTTCTTTTGAATATTATTTATTTAGTAAACAATTCGGCGTGCTTACACATCAATAAATTTCTAAGAAATTACTTTATTTCGTATCCAAAACCACGTAGTATGTAGAGTGATTATTATGCACAAAACAATCTATTATATACTGAATTGAATTAATCATTTAAATGTGACGGTAGTTTACATAAGAAAGTCAAAGAACAAACAAAAACGGGAAAGTTGCAAATTGGTTTCGCAATGACCTTCACAAGGGTTATACCAGGTGTATTTCAGAGTAAAGCATCATCGTCCACCGCTACATATGTTTCTAAAGCGTAAGTTATAAAAGTAGTTCCAGAAACACGTCGCATGTTTTAAAATGATATCCTAACATCACGTAGTAATTCCTAAAAATATTGTTGGATCGGTATTAAGATTGATTTTGTTTTTTGATAAACTAAAACATAACTAAATTGTATTGGTATACAGTTATGAAAACTTACAGTGTTACAGCCTGGCGATATTTTTTGACAGTTTTTGGCACAAGATTATACTTCCCTCAGACTGTTTATGACGTATTTATACTAAAGCCGTTTAATGGTTGACACTTTAGTCTTGGGGAACATACACAATGCATTAGTTATTGACATTGGAATAGTTTTTTGTATTTGATGTAGCCTTGCAATTGTTTCGAGTCGAGCGCCACTGAAGAGTCTTCTGTAAACGAAACTGTGTCTATCGTACTAAATTATAACCCTGGTATCTATGATGATTTTTTACAACCAATGGGTCGATGACACTGCCGGTCAACGTTTGGTCCCCGAGTGTATCACAAGCGTAGTAATCAGCACTTAAGTGTTGACATACAATTACATTGATATGATAATGTTCTGTCAATTTACTGATTATAGAATATTGCCTTGCTCGAGACACTAAGGTTTTTCTTTCCCCATACATAGATTGCCTTAGTCGTATATGGCACAACTTTTCGGCATTTTGGTTTGTTATACTCTTCAACTCCTTATTTCATTTGGACTTCCAACTAATTTTATTCGAACGCCACTGATGAGTCCGATATAGAAGGACCGAGTTTCTGAATTACTAACTGATAAGCCTAGTATCTTTGATGATTTTTGTTCAGTAACTGCGAGTACACTTAGCTTGGAAATTCATGTTTTTGTCTTTTTAAGCTAGCTGTTTGTTGTGCTTCGTACCGGTCTAATGAGTCAAACCATTTCGATCTGATTTTTATAGTTTGTCCTTGAATTGTGCTGCGCAGGGTTGGGGAGAGTTCAGCTCTCATAGACAAGCTTGGCCACGCTGTGTTCTCTTTATGCCGGTCATGAGTCGGGAGCCTTTTATTCAGTGGTGGTCGTTGGTTGCTTTGTGTGATCGTTTAATCTTTTATCATAAATCAGGCTGTTAATTTTATTTCATTTCAATTGTTACACAATACCATGACCAAAGCAAAATAGGTAAATAGTTTTAATATGTAGGTTCTGTCAAGTGGATTGCCAAGGATGAATAGTGGGGAAAAGAGATAAGGACACTCCCTGCGCAAGGCATCGGATGTAATACAGGATGGTGGTTGCGTTTCATGGTCTGTTACTTGTCGTGTTGTCTTTTGTTTTATTTAAGAACATATTATTGGCCATCGTTTTCGACTCGATATTATGATTTTTCCCTTGGTTTCCTTATTATAACCAAGTCTTTGATACCCAATACGCGAACTGTACAAAACAAAATATTTGGGGATGGGGAGGTCGGTCACTATGAAAAAATGCATGAGGAAATACAGGTTTTTTTTAGAAGCTATGTCATTCGGTGTTCGATAAAGCCATAAACCATATCGGTAGAGACAATCACAAAAGATTATCAAGATATTTGCAAACTTGAACTATAGATACGGAACAACACATAGGACATCACAACCACATCAGATTCGATCTCGAACTCAAAATTAATGGTCAAGAACGCTGCTAGATAGTTTAACTATTTTAATACTCTTGTTAAAATTTTGTACCTAAGAAAATAGTCCAGAAACTTATTCAAAACAATATATACAACTACTTAAATTCTTTATTTGCAAGGCTATACATGTTATTCAGTATTGTCTCAACTTCCAAAATATGCGAAAATCTGATATTCAAGATCGCAAATAAACATTGCTTGACTTCCTCTCAAGATGCAGATATGGCAAAGGCCATGTTATGCTAAAGAAAACCCCAAAAGTATTCTGATAAAAAATAAAATAATTGTGCATAAGTTAATAAATTACAAAGTTATTCTGACTTATAATGTATCATATGAAGGATATCTAATTAGGGCCTTTCTTTATCAATTTTTTCGTCAACATATCAATATTTCTTGAACAATAAACTATAATGTATGTATTTGGATATACATGATATACTTACATTTACTCATTCGGTTTATTCACAAGCATTCAGGTTAGTCACAAGAAATGCAATGCAGAATCGAAAGTAACGTTTTGTTGAATAGTTTAAATATAGAACATAACATAATGTAATGACATTACGGTTACCACAGGATTGTATTTAAATCAATGACAATGGTTTTACTTCAGTGATTTAATGTGTACTGCTCAGGAAACCTGCCAACGCACGTATCATATTCTACCCTAATTTCAGTTTATCGATATGTGGGTCATTTTAAAAAAATGTCGAATTTTCAGTACACCTATGCTATTTTTTTTTATTTCTGAAGAAAAATGCAGTTGTAAGTGCTTAAATGAACCATGTGAAAGTTTGTAGAATTTATTAGTCAGAACATTTATAATAAACACGATTTAGATCTATTTTGATACGATGTTTGCGTAATTTATGTGCGTACAGTGTCAGGGTGACACATTTCAAATGATATTTATCCTATTTTCTGATTGCCTTGATATCTGCAGATAAATAACTCTCACGAAAAAATCGCATCTTATTTATTATTCTTTGTTACATTTTTTCTTCAAACCAATTTCAATCAGCGTACATAAAGTGCATGTCCATCATATTACCGCAACTTGAATCAACCGTTAAATTGTTCTACATATGAATAGTAAACTAGTCAGGGTTGATTTCAAAAGCGCAAAGCAACCTAAAAATTTAAAACAGCACATTTCTTGCATAACAGTGTAGAGAAAAGAAATTCCAAGACAGTTAGTGAAAAAAAATAGTGGGTACCCTTTAGTCATGTCTATGCTGTTACCAACATATTTATCAATTACACCAATATTATACTTGTAAAAAGTGCAATAACGTATTGGAAACCAAAATCACATCAGAAAAACATTATCACTTCATAAAAGGGAGTAGTTATTTCACAACAGCATTCATAAATGAAGACATTTGTCTATTCTGTTATGTCTATCCGGTTATTATGGTTACAGTAATAGGATAGACAATACTTGACAGAAACGTCTTTAAAGAGTTTAAAATTACATATAGTTGTACACATAATAAAATGGTTCGTTGTATGAACTCATCTAAAGGTTATAACGTCTTAATCTTCGCAATTTAGCATTTGCAGATGCAATACTGCTATCGGTAACAGGATAGACCTTACTATGGTGATATATCATTAACGTACGTTCCTGTTACCAATAAAATAATGACGAAATTAAACCAACATGCGAGGGAATTACTTGATGTTGAGTTTATTAGAAAAAAAAAGACTGAACATTATGAATTACTATCTTAGACTTGCATAACTGGTGGTTATATTTATAACCTTTGAAAACCAATTTTTAGAGGCATTTTTCAGTATAACATGGACAATTGACAAATAATCTATCAGTATCATCGCACAGAATGAAAATATATGGAAGTCCTTACTCTTGAAAACCATCTTATCAGGGGTGTTTCTTGGATATTTGAAAGAGGGGGCGTAGAATCAATTCTTTTGCCGAGGAGAGCGTTTTAAAGAATGGTTCCCTATTGAGTAACTGGTGTCTGATTGGTGTACGAGTTCATACAGGCTTGAGAAAGAATCATTATTACAACAAGAAACGAATTGCACGCTGCCTTCTGGCGATTTCCTCTGATCTGTAAATATGGCTAACAGACATTTTAAAAGAGCGAAAAAAACAAAAAAGGCTATCATGAAAAAGGCCTTCTATCAGAAATATAGAAAAATAATAGACGATGAGATTTTGTTACTCAGTAAAGGATTAAAGTATATACCGTCTCCCTCGACGAAATTTGCAAAATCTAGTATTGCATCGGATTTCAATGAATTTGCAAGAAAACTAAGATGCAAATATCACTTTCACAAGGGTGATATTTTTAAACGTCATCCCTTTTTAACAAAATCCGGATACGAACCGGAACTTTCAAACAATGCAATTAAGACATATATATTCAAAAATAAGACTGAGATAGATAATTCAACAATACAAAAAGCACACGATAATCTCACTACGCGCGAAAGAAAGGCAATTTCTTCCCTGAAACGAAACATAAAAATAGTTATTCGAAAAGCAGATAAAAATAACACCACAGTGATCTGGGATAAAACAGAATATATAAGTGAAGGACTTAGGCATCTTAGTAGTGCTACTCACTTCATAGAAATTGAGAAATTAAATATAATAGAGACCAAACAGAAAATCAATAATATTATCTTTGAAATGCATAGGAAAGGGGTCATGGATGAAATCACATTTAAATATCTTTCTGCTAAGAGAGATCTTAAAACAGGAAGGTTGTATCTTCTGCCTAAATTGCACAAACTGGATACTGAACTAATAGAAAGGGTTCAACAGAATCCTACGCTGTATAAAAATGTCAGAATTCAAGGAAGGCCTATTGTTTCATTATCTGGTACTGTTTTAGAGAGAATAGGGAAGTATTTGGATAAATCCATGCTTCTAGCAGTAGTACAACAAGAAACACATTTAAGGGACTCTTTTTGAATTTATAAATATTATTGAGAAATTGCAGGTAAAACCTGACGCCTACTTAGTCAGTTTTGACATAAAAGAAATATATAACAATATGTCCCATGCAGAAATGATTGACTCAGTTAAACATGCTTGCCCTTCGATAATTAAATGTAAACATACGATAACATTGCCCCCACTGCGATATATATTGGAACTTCTAAAGATAGTTCTTGAAAACAATGAATTTATGTTCAATGATAAATTTTACAAAACTTCAACTGGAGTTCCAATGGGAAATAGTTTATCACCTGAAATTGTCGATCTGAGAGTTTATGAAGTCTTAAATAGTATTTCAATGACTTTCCAACATAAACAGAAAATATCGAGTCTCTATAGATTTAGGCTTTTTTTATTTACAATGAAGGTACAGATGATGAAATAGCACAATTTTTTGAACATGCTAACAGACACCATGCACTTCTAAAATTTACATACGAGAAATCACAAACTAAAATGCAGTTTTTAGATGTGTTAGTATTCAAAGGCCCAAGATTTAGAGAAACAGGAATCTTAGACCTCACGACGTTCCGGAAAAAAAACCTGAAAATTATCAGTACTTACAGAGGTCCTCGTGCCATTCATCCTCTACTTTCAGAGGCATAATTAAGGGAGAAATGCTTCGCTTAAAGAGATGTACGAACGATCCAGTAGATTTGCAAACACAATATGCGTTATTTTCTGAACGCCTTATTAAAAGGGGATATGAAAAAAAAAAATAAATTAAAACTGTTATGCAGGAAGTGACTGCAAAACAAAGAAATGACACATTAATGGCAAAACCCAAATCTGTATAACAGTCGCCTCCCTTGGTTTTCTCCACAGTGTTTTCAAGACAGAAAACACACATATAGAACAATATTTTAAAACAATGGGATATATTAAAAGATGACGAAGAGGCAAAACTTTTATTTGATAAAAAGACCTCTTTTCGCTTTCCGTAGACATAGAAACTTGAAAGACACAGTTACATCTGCAATGCTGGGTAATTAACATGTTGCAAATTATAAAAAATATATTCTATTCCATGTTTGTTAAATTGATAAACATGGTAAAAAAAAAGAGTATAGAAAAGTTTTAGTCAAACAGATCACGAGGTGTCGAGCCCCTTATAAAAATTACAGTGTTTTTATTATAAGTGTCACCATGCAATGGCTTGGGCTCCTGACGATGGACATGGCCATGGTCAATCAGTTTATTCTAATATCACCTTGATGCATGGACTCTTTGCAAACCAGCCTAGAATGCAAGAACAAAATCGGCTAACAATATGAATAACACGGACACGGATGATACACTTGGCACATTTTTAACGGAACTTCCCCATTTTTGCATTCTTGTTAAAGTTCATGGCATTGCTATACACGTAGCTAATTGTCGCCCCTCCGCCATAAAAAATCAATTCGCATAACTCCCACACAAATTGACGAAACATGTATAATGCCGGCGCAAAATGATATCAACTACATGTCATGTTTAACAATCCTGCAAAAAATGAACGAAATTCGTCCAGCGGTTTAAACGAGTTGTGTTCACAAAATAGTCACTGCGTGACGGACGGACAGAGACCATTTCCATGCCCCTCCGACGCGTGGCGATGGAATACAATGGAGGAGAGATATACTTGAATGTATCTAGTGTAGCAGGGGTTGCGGATATAAAGACCGAGAAGGGTTCAAGGGTAATCGTATATACTGACAAACATATACAAGTGATACCTCGCCACGCATAAGGGGATGGCAAATAGTGTATAAAACTGCAATTTCTCACAAAAATATTCCGTTGAAAATTTTTTTTTTAAAAACATGTATCCGTTCTCGAGTTATTGAATTAAAACCACCGGGTGGACGGACGGACGAACTCGTACTTTTTTCGGAGGCTACCCTATTACGTGTGGTTGGGTATTAAAAAATTCAACCCCATTTTTATATATAATAAATTTGGTATCAGTTTTATTAAAAGCTTAGGAATCACAATTGCGTCAGTAATTTTTCGTTTTCTTAGTAAGGATTGAGTCATGTATACATGTAGGATAAAATAAATTGTGAATCCTCCTCGCATAGCCAGAAATTAGTAGTACTTTTGCTAATTAATATTCATAATATGTAAATGAGAATTGTACCACGTGATAATAGTTTGAACTGGACTGTCTTGATATCATTAAAATCTTTAAAACACGGATATTATAAGTTGCCCGTCACAGAGTCCTTGTTTATAATCACTCTGATATTTCCGTAAAGTTGTCAGGCGGTCAAAATCAAAACAATGAACGCGAATTTAGTGAATTTTTCGTGTTTTCGTGAGTTAATTAGGGGCATTTTAACTTTACGTGGGAACCTAGAGTTCAACGACTACACATACAAGGTTTGGACTAGCTTATTCTTTGGACATTCAAGTTTCAAGTTTCATCCCGGCATTCTGTTTTTGTAATGACCTTGTTACCCTATTTTCAACACGAAGTTTCCAAATTTGACGTTTCAGCCATTTTAACTTGTATTTTATACTGCAATGTTAAAAGCCTCTCGCTTCGATTTTTTAAATAGCTCAGGAACCTTGATTTTTGCAACGACAGTCATTATGTTTCGTTTAAATGGTGTATGTTGTTGTGTATATTTATTTTCTGTCCCGGCAACCTGTCTATCACTTAAATTAAAGTTAAAACAGACATTTTTTTCAAAATTCCCTATCATTTCAATATAATTTCCGTGACCCGTATCCGATTTCTTTAGTATTATATTTAAATAAGCAAAGTGGCGTTGATTTCTGGATATTGGAAGACGTGTGTCGCCAAAAAACTACAAAGTCGATCGGTAAACAGGAAGTAGATGAGCAACAAACCTGAAAAGGGAAGAAACGGTACAAGTCATCATGAGAAAGCAATGTACTAAATATCTAATCATTCCATCCAACAGAAGCTGAGAAATTTGAAACGGAAAAGTGAAGCGGACGATTA